TGGGAGGATTGCTTGACCCCAGGAGTTCAAGGCCAGCCTAGGCAACATAGTGAGACTCTGTCTCTACAAAAAAATTGTAAAATTAGTCAGGCGTGGTGGTGCATGCCTGTGGTCTCAGCCACTCAGGAGGCTGAGGTGTGAGGATCATTTGAGCCCAGAAGATTGAGGCTGCAGTGAGCTGTGATCACACAACTGTATTCCAGCCTGGGGGACAGAGAAAGACCCTGTCTCAAAACAAACAAACAAATATTGAAATGTTGCTTAGTCATGAAACTTACAAAATTTGTTTCCACTTAACATGTGGCTACTTACTCAATCATATTATCTGGTGAAGGAGAGTAAAACCGTGACACTGACTGACTGTTTACAACAGGGCAGCACATTGCTTAGTGCTCGTCAGCTTTCTAGAGAAGCTGAACATCACGTCCAGTACTTTGCAAAATTCTTTCAGATCCTCACAAGCCAACTCAGTAGTCTACAAACAGGCTCTCATTTTACATTTAACTTTGAAAACATATTTACAACAATTTAGAATCATTCTTCTCAATGTCCTTGCCTCTCAGCTGCACAGCTGGATTTTAGTTGGTGTGAAATGAAAAACTGGGTTGTAGGTAAACATTATAGCAATTTCAAGCCTCCTGTATTTTCATGAATCTTCCAACATTTTATTACTGTTATAATTACCTACTCATAATAATGTCGGCCCCTGTTATGTGCTGGCCCCTGGACTGGGAGAAACAGTTAATATTTGTGTTACCTTGTCAGTAAGTGTCATTGCTGAGGCTCAGGAGGGTAAGGGCGAGCTTGCCCAGAGCTCCATGGCTGGGAAATACGAGAGCCAGGATTTGGATCCCGGACAGTACGCTTCACAGGCCATATTCCCTTTAAAAACGAAGGTGACGCCTTGGCAGGCCATGTGATTTGAGGTGTGGAAGTCTTTCGGTTCATGCTGTAGTTACTAGAGATGGTCTTAATTGTCAGACAGCTCTTCAACAGTTGGGGCAAATAGGCAAACATAACTATCAAATCATAATGACCATACCACCTGCATTAGTTTGTTCTTGCATTGCTATAAAGGACTACCTGAGGCTGGCTAATTTATAAAAAAAAGAGGTTTGACTCACAGTTCCACAGGCTGTACAGGAAGCACGGCTGGGGAGGCCTCAGGAAACTTACAATCATGGTGGAATGCGAAAAGAAAGGAAGTACATTTTTTTTTTTTTGAGATGGAGTTTCTCTGTTGTTACCCAGACTGGAGTGCAATGGCACGATCTCGGCTCACCACAACCTCCGCCTTCTGGGTTCAAGCAATTCTCCTGTCTCAGCCTCCCAAGTAGCTGGGACTACAGGTGAGCTCCACCATGCCCAGCTAATTTTTGTATTTTTAGTAGAGACGGGGTTTCACCTTGTTGACCAGGATGGTCTCGATCTCTTGACCTCATGATCCACCCACCTTGGCCTCCCAAAGTGCTGGGATTATAGGCATGAGCCACCACGCCCAACCAGGAAGTACATTTTACATGGCTGGAGCAAGAGGAAGAGAGTGAAGGAGGCACTACACACTTAAACAACGAGATCTCATGGGAACTCATTCGCTATCGTGAGAACAGCAAGGGGGAAATCTGCCCCTATGATCCCATCACCTCCCACCAGGCCCCTCCTCCAACACTGGGGATTACAGTTCAACATGAGATTTGGGCAGGGACACAAATCCAAACTGTATCACTACCTAAGCTCATTTCTTCTGCTACTGACCACTTCTTCCTTCCCTTGACCGGCGTGTGTGGGTAGGAATACATACTGAATGATGCTACTAAATCCCTGGTCTGGTTTCTGGGTTTGGTTTTGTACTTCGCTACTAAGATTATTTCTGTTGGTCAGTGAACCTCTGGAACTGTAGTTAGAACAGCCGGTAATACATGTCTCATGAAAGTTACATGGATGTGTATGTACATATGCGTATGTTGGAATGACCCTTTAAATCTTGATTTCAGAAATCTGGAATATTTATGCTTATACTCAAATAGAGAATTTGATCTGAGATATTTTAAGTAGAATCACTAAAAATAATCAGTTGCAGCAGATTTAGAAAGTTATCATTAATGCTCGAAATATGGCATTTTCTGCTTATTTACACTTCACAATGTATCAAATAGGATCTCCAACATCTTCTGAAAATATACAGTATTTTCTCAAAGAGTTAAGCAAACTGGGGCAAAGGGTAAATAAGAGAAAAATGATATGAAACCAGGGGAGAGGCTAGGACACAGAATGCATGCTGTACAGTGTGTGTCACTGATTGCGTCTCATTTTAAAAATAAAACGGCACATCCCACTTTCCTAAAAAGGTGGCTTCTTGATCAGGAATCTCCATCTCTGTTACAGCAATGAAGCTTCTTGCCCTTTTTAACACTTCTTTCTTTCTGCCCCACCTTAGGAAATATTCCATTTGATTCTGTCCTTGTTTTTTTTTTTCTAATAGGCAATCTTCCACAGCAGCCGTCTGAGACAATGAAAAATCACTTGAGCTTTTTAAAACAAATGATCGTGAGGAGCATTTGAGGATTCATTTGTCAAGTTAGTTGGAACGTCTTATGTGGGCAAGCTCATGTTTCCAATTTGGGACTTGGAGCAGGCAATCAGCTGTGTCGCATTCTCACATCCGCTTGACGTCAGCCCTGAGAGCTGCGGTATCTTTAGCAGCTCACTGTGTATGGTGATAGCAAGTGTGTGCGTTGTCCTCATGGAAAACAGCTCACTTGATAGTTTATGAAGCTGCAACTTGGCAGTGCTATCCATGACCTTTCTTCTAGAAATTGCTGTTGCCACTAGCACATAGTGGACAACTCTGAAAGGGAGAATTTAGCTTTTCCATGGACTCTCCCTTTCCTATGAAGATTTTGTAGTAAACCCTATACATAAAATCATGGTTTATAAAGAGAAAACATTGATAGTTTTTTTTTCTTTTTTGTTTTTTGAGATGGAGTCTCACTCTGTCACCCAGGCTGGAGTGCAGTGGCCTGATCTTGGCTCACTGTAACCTCCGCCTCCCGAGTTCAAGGGATTCTCCTGTCTCAGCCTCCTGAGTAGCTGGGACTACAGGCAGGCACCACCACACCTGGCTAATTTCTTTCTCTTTCTCTCTTTCCCTTCTTTCCCTTCCTTCCTTCCTTCCTTCCTTCCTTCCTTCCTTCCTTCCTTCCTCTCTCTCTCTCTCTCTCGCTTTCTGTCTTTCTTTCTTTCTTTCTTTTCTTTTTTTCAGACCAGGTTTCACTCTGTTGGTCAGGCTGGCCTTGAACTCCTGACCTCAGATGATCACCTGCTTTGGCCTCCCAAAGTGCTGGGATTACAGGTGTGAGCCACTGTGCCTGGTTGATACATCAGCATTTTGAATGGATGAGCTGCATATGATAAAAATTAGGCCAGGCATGATGGCTCATGCCTGTAATCCCATCACTTTGGGAGGCCGAGGAGGGCAGATCACTTGAAGTCAGGAGTTCCAGACCAGCCTGGCCAACATGAAGAAACCCCGTCTCTACTAAAAATACAAAAAATTAGCTGGGCGTGGAGGTGCACACCCATAATCCCAGCTACTCAGGAGGCTGAGGCACAAGAATCACTTGAACCTAGGAGGCAGAGGTAGCAGTGAGGAAGCCCAGGCCACGTGTAGATTCTCCAATTAACAGCCCTAGCTGAGGTTCTGCCCAACAGCCAGATAAACCACCAGACATGTGAGTGGTGACATCTCCAGGGATTCCAGCCCCTAGCTGTTGAGTCACTCTTAGCCATTAAGTCTCCCCAGCTGAGACTCCCGAGCCATCCCACTGCCATGTCCAATTTCTGACCGCAGAATCTGTGAGGGTGGTCAAATGGTTGTTATAAGCTGCTTAGTTCAGGGATAACTGGTTACACAGCAGTGGTAATTACAACAAATTAGAAAGCACGTCTGGATTAGAATCGCCTGGCCATCTCATCCTCCAAATCATAGACACTGAAAAGCATAAGCTTCCACTTTAGTCTTCCGTTCACTGACATTATTGCGAAGATCTTCCTTTCCCTCTGCTGAATATCACTGTAGAAGAGAAAACCCAAATACTACTGAACTTGTTACTGTGTCTAAGAGTTGTATTTGGAAGACTTAAACAAACAAACAAAAACTAGTTCAGAAGTGTGTCGCACGTCTCACTATTTTATCAAGACCAGGGAGGCTTTTTTTTTTTTGAGACAGAGTTTCACTCTCGTTGCCCAGGCTGGAGAGCAATGGCACAATCTCGGCTCACCGCAACCTCTGCCTCCCGGGTTCAAGGAGAACCTGCCTCAGCCTCCCCAGTAGCTGGGATTACAGGCATGCTTCTCCATGTTGGTCAGGCTGGTCTCAAACTGCTGACCTCAGGCAATCCACTTGCCTCGGCCTCCCAAAGTTTTGGAATTATAGGGGTGAGCCACTGTGCTTGGCAGGAGGCTTTATAAAGTAACATGAATACCTAAACCAGTATTACTTTTATATTCCCATCTGAAAAGAAAAGCACAAAATAATCAATTGTGTCACAGAGTATCTGGGAATCAGCCAAGTAACCTTTAGCAAGCCTCTCCATTCAGAAGGCCAAATGGAATAATGAGAAAGACGAAATCAGAGGGATCCATAAGCCGAGGTTCAAAATAGTTCATCCACATGTGGTCTGGGTGATCTCGAGCAAGTTACTCAACCGCTCTGAACTTCAGTTTCTTTATCTCTAAAACAGGATTGCCTAATTATGCTCCTAGCCACAGGGCTGTTATGCTGACCAGATGTGCTGTTCAGAAATACGAAAGCACTTTGTACAGTGAGAAAGACTAATTGTGAATAGAAAAATGAAAGAAAAACAAAATCACCTAAATGTGTATCCAGGCAATGTAGGCCAGTGTCAAAAAAGGCAAAGCAAAAAGCAAAACAAAATTATCTATGACGTTTTCTTTATTAAATATCAATGTCCCTGGCAGACACAGGTGCCCGCATTTACCTGATATAGTGATAGAGGATCCAGGAAACGGAGTAGCATTACTTCACTGTCTTCCCTGCAAACCCTGTTGATACAAAAAAAAATTTTTTTTGATACTGAGTCTTGCTCTGTCACCCAGGCTGGAGTGCAGTGGTGGGATCTCAGCTCACTGCCACTTCCGACTCCCGGGTTCAAGCGATTCTCCTGCCTCAGCCTCCCTAGCAGCTGGGACTACAGGTGCGCACCACCAAGCCCAGCTATTTTTTGTGTTTTTAGTAGAGATGGGGTTTCACCATGTTGGCCAGGCTGGTCTCGAACTCCTGACCTGATGCACCTGCCTCAGCCTCCCAAAGTGCTGGGATTACAGGCTATACCAAGTTTTATACTGCTTTGCTTTGAGCAAATCCATCTTCTGCTGCTAAAGTGCTTCCTTCCCCAACACTCTCACTTTCAAAACAAGTCTGTGATTGCTTTGCAAAGACTCATTTCCAATTCAGATTCCTACAATAAGCTGCCAGTCTTCTTGGGTCTTCTATTTCACAGTTTTCTGTCCAGCCAGCAGCAGGCCTAGCCCTCTCCCATTACTCAGTGAATTTCAATGTGAATGTTCTCTTTTCCACGTGCATGGCTGAAAGGACCCTCAGAGACCAGCCAAGCTCGTCATTTTACAAAACAGAAAACCAAGACCTAGGAGAGGAGCAGGCTCACAACCAGGTGTCACAATGTATTACAGAACGGAGCTCCTCTTTCCATAAATAGTTTTCCCCTCGTTATTCCTGCATCGAGCATGTGTTCCAGACTGCCTGCTTGACATCTCCAGATGGATGACTAATAAGTTTCTGAAACTTAACTTGTCCAAGCAGAACTCTTGATTCCACCCACCCAAACGTGTTCTTCCCCCGGTCCACCCAATCTCAGTTAATTGCCCAGTCGCTTAGGCCAAAAACCCAGGAATCATACTTGATTTACTTATTAACTACTTAATTTTTTTTTTTTTTTAATTTTGAGACTGAGTTTCACTCTGTCACCAGGTTGGAGTGCAGTGGTGCAATCTCAGCTCACTACAATCTCTGCCTCCTGGGTTCAAGCGATTCTCCTGCTTCAGCCTCCCAAGTACCTGGGATTACAGACACATGTTACCACATCCAGCTAATTTTTATATTTTTAATAGAGATGAGGTTTCACTATGTTGGTCAGGCTGGTCTCGATCTCCTGACCTTGTGATCCGCCTGCCTCAGCCTCCCGAAGTGCTGGGATTACAGATGTGAGCCAGTGCGCCCAGCCTGATTTATTTCTTTTATCTCACTTCCTACATCCAATTCGTCAGCAAGTCCTGTGGCGCTGTCCTCAAAATATAGCCAGGATTTGCCTACGTCTTACCACTCTGATGACTACCAAGACCCCATCACCTCTCAGAGGGCTTCTATTACAAAATAGCCCCCCAGTGAGACTCCCTGGCTTCACGCCTGTCTTTCTTGAGTCTTTTCTGCATATAGTAGCCAGAGGGAAGTTTTAAAACCATAAATCAGATCACTTCACTTCTCTACTGAAAGGGCTCCAATGACTACCCATCTCACAATAAAATCCAAACTCCTTACCGTATGCTTTAAGGTCCTGCACAAGGTACCCTGCCTGCTTCTCAGGCTCTGCCTCCTCTTACTGACTCCCAAACACTCTGCAGTCCAGGCTTTCTTGGCTTCTTGCTTTTCCTGGAGCACACCAAGCTCATTTCCACCCAGAGCCTTCACACTTGCTGCGTCCTCTCCTGAAATGCTCTCCGCCCACATCTTGGCATGTGTTGCTGCCTTCGTTAGGTAGGTTTCTAATTGAACCTACCTTGACCATCTTTCAAAAGAGCATACTCTGTCACTCCAATTCTGTATCCTGCTTTACTCTTTTTTTTTTTTTTTGAGACAGGGTCTCTCTCTGCTTTCTAGGCTGGAGTGCAGTGGTGTGACCTCAGCTCACTGCAACCTCCACCTCCTGGATCCAAGCGATTCTCCTGTCTCAGCCTCCCAAGTAACTGGGACCTGCAGGCACATGTCACCATGCCTGGGTACTTTTTTTTGTATTTTTTTGTAGAGACGGGGTTTCACCATGTTGGCCAGGCTGGTCTCAAACTCTTGACCTCAAATGGTCTGCCTGCCTCAGCCCTCCAAAGTGCTGGGATTCCAGGCGTGAGGCACCATGCCCGGCCTATCCTGCTCTACTCATCCTTATAGCACCATCTCCACATGAAATCACACCACACGTGTTCACACTCTTGTTTACTGTATGTCACCACTGCTGTTCCTGAAGCTCCATGAGGATGGGGACTTAGTCTGCCTCGGTCCCTTGTTTTATCCAGGATGCCTAAGACAATGTCTATTACATAGCAGAACGTCTATGTGACGTATTTGTTGAATGACTGAATCAGCAAACTTGCATAAACTCTGGGAAAATCCAAAACTTTTTTAGAAACTACTTTTACACTCAACACATGATGGAAATGCATATCTTTTTTAGCACATGGCTCATGTAGAGGCCATTTTATCTGTGATGGATTTACCACAGGGCCATAGTGCTTACAAAGAAGAGAGAGAATCAAATATCCTAAAGTGCGTTTGGTGCAAGGAAGGTCCTGCCTGGGCACTGGCGTTCTGGGTGGGACTCTGTCTTCCTGCAGCATAGTTAGGTACTGACGGACTCAGACTTCGGTGCATTCCCAGGACATGTGGCCTCCAGCAGAAAGGTGGGTCACTTCCAAGCAGTTGAAGCATTTCATCTGTGCAACATAATTTAGAACTCTTCCAGAATCCATTTTCTCAGTGGACCTCCAGGAATTCCCTGGCAGGAGGGAGTCGGACCTGCAGGGGGAGCTGCCGGCATGCATCCATTCCGGAGAGCCTCAGAAAATGAGGGTCCAGAAATCTAGCTATTCCTTCAAGTGGGATGGATTTAAAAGGTCATCGAATTTTATAAACATCCAAAATATTCTCTTACTCCTGCCAGAGCCTGAGAAATTGAAAGATTCTTAAGACAAAATCTCAAGTGGTCAAATTGCATTTATACAGCCTGTATACGGCAGGATTTTATATGGACTCTGGGGCCACTTCCTCTTCATGGATAGATTTGAAAGTCCCTTAGCTCCTTGTCTACAGACATTGCCAAGGTGGTGACTCCAAAATTTCGTGAAGAATGCACAAGAAACACTGTCAAAATTCTGCCTGGAAAAACACAAGAAGCCAGCTCTCATCATCAGATAGAAACTCTTGTGGGTTTATTGAGGAACCCAGAATCTCGCTTCATGCAAACAGGAGCAAAACAATGTGATCTTCCTGTTCAGAGGCCGAAAAATACTCAACAAAATGGAAATCATTGTATAAATCTTTGTGTATTTACAACACTACAGCCAGGTCAGAATTAATGATCAAACCTTGCTTCTAAGTTCACACTAGTAACTCCATTAAGCTCTCATGAAGCTGGTCTTTTTGGGGGGAGTCAAGGTTTGCTTACTCTCAGACTCCAGTCCTTCAAGGCAACCGTTGGCAATGACAAAGAGCACTAGTTCCCATCCCACTGTCACTCTAACAAGAATCAGAATCGTGAGAAGAAAAAGGGGGCGGTTCCTCTCCACCTGGTGTCCTGTGTTAGATCTGGGGAAGGGCAGGAGGAGACCTCAGCTAAGAGAGATGGGCCTGGGACTGCCTCCAAGGCAAGCCTTCAGGTCTCCACGGTGTCCTCAGCATTTCCTTTTCAAGCTTGTGAATTCCTGGACTTATTTCTCAAGATCCGAAAACCAAAACAGCCCATGGAAAAATATGTTTTTCAAGGCTGCTGGTTCCTTGTCCACACGGTCTATGTCAGTGTATCTGATTATGTCCACAGATCTCAGCAAGCTGTGACTGCAAAATAAGGACTCATTTAAATTGTAATGACTTGGAGTCATTATCTGCCCAAAAGAGAAAGAAATTCAAGCCCTTTCCCTTGGTTCCCTTCCTCAGGTTCCATATTTGTGTACTATTTCTTACATAATTAGTAGCTCTACAGGAATGCATCTTACAACTAACATCCAAAATTAAAAAGACAACTCTTGGAGTTCGAGGTGTTGGCCATTCTTGGCTGTCTGATGGTCATCCTCAGCCTGTGTGCTGAGAAGTCACTCATCTAGTCATCCCTGCTTGCAGTTACCTGCACTGGGATAACTGGAGCTGGGAGACAATGGAAGTTTCCATTCTCAGTGCCTCCCAGGTTTGTTGCAGTCTCCCTGTATCACCAGCATATCAAACAGGCATGGAGGGAAGAGAGGCTGCTTTGGCTGTGAATGTGAGACATACATACGTTGGATCTGTTGGGTTTGAGACACCGACATTTCCATCTCTGCCTCTTGAAGGGTAGAGGCTTGAGGGCCTCTGAGATTCTTCCAGATTTTTCATGCCAAAAGAAAACCCTGCGATGGTATATGCCGATACTTGATGACAATGGAAAACGGGTTGTGTGCTTTTGGGAAGAGTCTATTAGGCATATGGAAGGTGCTCTGGTGTTTGTCCCTTGCTCTTATGGCCTTCCCATCAATTTCTTCGTTCGTGACACATTCATGCATCCATTCTTCATTTATTCATCCCCCTCTCCTGTCAGTTCTCAAAACGTTGTATTTGGGGCTCTTCCGCCATGTCTTTTCTCACATTGCATTGTGTCACCAATGCATGTTGGGTAAATGAATGGAATGAGAAAGGATGAGGAAGTCATGTTTTGGCAAGTACTCCCAAGCAGGAAGAGAGCTGCAGCAAGAAAGTAACCAGACCACCCCCGCCCCTTAAAAAGCAAACAAACAAACAAAGAAAACCACAGATGGACATAAAACTCAATGAACTCCATGTCATTACAATGAAAATAACAATCTTGGGATGTTAGTGGAGTGTTATTGTGGGGACAATGACAACAACAGCTGCCTTTTTTGTGCTGTTGATAATAATTACTTGGGCACATTTTATTTGCCAGGTGTGCTGCCGAAAGCTTTTTTTTTTTTTTTTTTTTGCCAATCAGTTTGAGTTTATGAGGTTGCTCAGGTTAGCCTTGAACTGATGACCTCGCCTTCGCAAGCGCCATGACCTCCGGCGGGAGCCACTTTGGACCCCGGTTGCAGAAAGCTTTATGTGCACACTGTGTATCTAATGGATGCGTATTACCTCATTTAACCCTCGCAATGACTCCAGGAGGTGAGAATTATTACCTCCATTTATATATCAGGAAACTGAGGTCATTCCTACTGTATAGCTGGTAAGTGGAAGGTGGAATTCAAAGCTGGTCAGAGTGACTTCAAAGCTCAGACTCTGTCCGCTCTAGTATCTTGCTACTGACCTCATCACTACGTCCAGTCTATATGATAAATGGTGATCCTATTGCAGACCCTGAATCATCATGTCATTTCTTAGTCTTAGAAAGTACACGGATGTGCACTACCAGGAAAGAGTCCTTCCCAAATGCTCAGTTAAAATGTCTTAGTTCTTAGTTGGTTACTCTTCAAATGCCTGGAAATGTTGCTTTTGTGGAGATCTTTTTCCCAATCAGTAAAACAAATGAGGAATTACAGTAGTTTTCTTGAGATCAAACCCCCAGAAACACACATGGAATGCCAAACACAAATGCACCACGACTTTGCATAAGAGAAGAGTTATATATTTTGGTTTGGTTCTAAAATCTTAAGAAATCATGTCCCAGACTAGTTTAAACACTTGAGCCATAAAACACATTGGCCTACTGGCCTATGGGATTCAGAGAATAACCCATAATAACTCAATCCAAAGTCCCTATCCTGGGTCCCTGTCAAAAGCTGAGTCACTAATTTTTTTATATGTATGAACTGTATGATGCTCCCCCATCCCCCGCAATGCCACCAAAGGCTTTTCCTTCCATTTGCCCCTACCACTGTGGGGCTACGGCTCAGCCTGAAAACAAAGGCCCTGAAGGCATCAGATTAATCTCCTTCCAGTTTATTCTTTCCCAACATGATGCAAGTGAAGGTGCTTGGAAGCAAGCACTGTAAATTCATAGGCGGAGCTCAGGGTTTAAACATATTGCACAGTGAACTTCTCTTTTTCATCTTGGATAGCCCAGCCTCAACGTAGTTCACTAGACTTTCATGCCATATTTTGTCTTCCTTCTGAGTCGCGAAAGAAAAAAGAGGTTAAAAAGCACGCCTTTGGAGTCAGAAGGAGTGCTCTTATGTCTCAGCATTGTCCATTCTCTGAGCAAGTCACTTCAATTTTTAAAGTCGTATCTGAAAAGTGGGGTTCTAATTGCCCATCCTGCCTTCTCTCTTTTTTCCTCACTTGAAAATTCTTGACACGTCAGAAGCCAAGAAGAGTGCCTAAGGTTGAACGAGAAGCTTTTGTCACAGTTCTTCCTCCATACTCCGTTCGTCATTCTAATTATTAGGAGAGAATACAGAGCCAAGCACAGCGGCGTGCTGTCGTAGTCCCAGCTGCGTGGGAGGCTGAGGCATGAGGATCGCTTGAGCCCGTGAGTCTGAGGCTGCAGTGTACTGCGATCGCTCCTGTGAAGAGCCACTGTACTCCCAGCCTGGGCAATATGGTGAGACCCCATCTCAAAAAAAATAAATTTTTAAAAGAGAGGGCACAGCTGGTTGGGTTCCAGGAAGACTGAGAGTCCAGCAATGCCACCAACGGCCCCAGCAAAGCCATCAGGAAGGGACTTCATAGTTTCACTGACATAAATTACGGAGTATTAGT